CTCTTTGTTTGACTTCCTTCTGCCATGCCCCCCCCAGCGCTCCTCACCATCCACATCCACGTCTCTACGCTCATCTGTTATCCAGACTCCAGTCAGCTCAGTTCTAACTTCCTCATGCTGAACTGGAATTGCCGAATCGAAACACAGCTCAAACGAAAAAAAAAAAGGGTAACTACTACTTGAATCGGGGATGAAAAGCCCAGAGGTTAGTTTTGTTTTTTTGTTTTTTTCGCGTTCTCTCCCTGTTTCTTAAAGGAACGTGTACTTTACTGCTTGAGCAATCCTGTGTATTGCTGCCACCGTTGTATCTAGCGATGGATCTGTCTTATCTTTTTATTCTATCAGGTCAACGCTGAACTGTAGTGGTTTTATTTGAGTCATGTTAGCTTGTAATATGTGGATTTACAGAATGGAGCATGTATTAAAAACCTGTTAGGCTTCTACTACCGATGCACTTCATTTGTCATCATGTTTAAAATAAGCTCACATGCCGTCGAGAGAACTAAATTAAAAGTGATTTACTGTTTTAAATTTGTCTGTTTTCATCTTTGAACGGCTTATGGGAAGCCACTTTGTGGTCAAAACAACAAAAAACAATTTTAAGCAAAAATTGAGCAAATTTAAAGGTTGAGTACCAAGTCAGGCAAAAAAAAAAAAACGCCTTCAACATCATTTAAACCCCTGAATGGAAAATGTAGGACTTTGGTCTCTGTTTAGGTGTTTTCAAGAAAACTGAACTGACAACAAATGATAAAACGGCCATGTTAAAATTTCAAAAGGAATCTGCTCGGTTACAGTTCGACCACACTTTGTCCGATTGTGGCCTCACTTTGCTTCAAATCTGTTTTTATAAGAGTGATTTAAAAAAATTATGAAAAAATAGAAACGAGCTGAATGCGCAAAAAATTGAGGTAAAATAAGACGTTTAATTTCTAAGAGACCATGATGGAAACATTAAAGCTCCTTTCATTCTCCAAAACGGTCCAAATGTGAAACTTTCTGAAGGTCTTTGGAAGTGATCCAAAGCAATAATCCACTAACTTCTTCAAGGCTATGAAATATTCAGAGGAAAACAACCCTAACTCAAGGGATGAGCCAGTGTTGTGTCCAGCTCAGCAGAGTAGCAGTTTAAAGTGGATCTTTAGGCTCTTTAACAGCCTGTCCATTTCTTTAGCTGATGGGTGAAAAAGGCCAAGGAAGTGTTTGACAGACAGAAAACAGGATTTCAGACGATTCCCCAAAAAGCTACTGGCTGAAAACTGGGAACATTTGAGGAAACTGGACAAGTGGAAGACAGAAGAAGAAAAATTGGGCCTAAAAATCTAAATAAGGGTGCGGTTTAACATGCTTAGCGACGGTTAGCTAACGAAATAGCAACGGTTAGCTAGCGAGTTAGCGACGGTTAGCTAACGAGCTAACGACTGTTGTCGTCCATCGCCCCGTTGCCACAGCAACCCACGCCCGCGGCCCCTCCATGGCAACCGCGCCGCACCGGAAACGGCCCCAAGCAGATCCGTGTCAGGGGGACCCGAGGCTGGGAGCCCTAGCAGCCCACGAGGAAACCAAACACAGGTAGTTTTTAAGCGTTCACTTCCTATTTTCTGCCTGATCACTTAGCCAGTTTAGCCACAAAATGGCGGACGTCTGATTTAGAAAATAATTTTTAAAATACACCTTTGGAGCACACACTGACATGCAGGGTGAGATTTACAGGCAGAAAATATTTTTTTTACATTAAAAAAAGTCCCTCCAAACCCTGTGTCCCTCCGAAAAGAGTAACAAAAAATATCTGCTGTGTTTCAACAATATGGGAAGAGTTCTTAAGCCCCTTTCAAACGATTTATTCTACATTTTTTGACAGCCTACAGACTCTGCAGGTTAGCATCTGACCCTCAGTTAGCATGTTAAAGTTCAAAGGTCACGGCCGTACAGAAGGAAAAAGACAGACCGTGTTCGGTTCGTTTTGGTTTTATTTGATTCCTCTGTTACCCCAGATGAAAGTTGACCTCTGAACTCTCACATCCAGGTGGATTTATGTTTTTCGACTTCCTTTAAGCTCTGGGGGGGGCCAGGGGTTCTCCCATGATGCACCTCTCCTCCCTCGGCCGCTGTTTTCCATCTTCAAAAGGATTTGTGGCAACGAAAAAAAAAGAAGACGCTTCTCAGGGGGGATTTATTTGCAATTTTTAATACCTTTTCTTTATTGGTTACACAGATCCTTGAATCGAGTAACAGAAAGCAGAGGATCCAACTCCAACAACCTTGACAATGTTCAAAAACAGGTAAAGAGATTTTTGTTCAGAAAACCTTTAATCGTTAATAGAATTAGTAGTATGACATATTTCAATAAATATTTAGATATATACAGATACAGCAGAAACGGTACATTCTTTTTTTCTCTTCAAATTGCTTCACGTTTTTTTGTACAAGCCAAAATATCTGCCATTGTATTTATATTCATGCAAAATATCGTTTCTCAGATTAATGAAAAATAAAGAGGATTTGCTAAACTTTTTTTCTTTTCATTTTTTTTCCCATCCTGCTTCGATGTGCGCTCTCGGGTCTATAAGCGTCGTAATGAGCACTGGAAATTTTTGCAAATCAAACAGGTGCACTTTGTGCCAATACACAATAGAAGCAAGTAAAGCTAAATTAAGGCCATTCCAACTTGTGCAAAGAAAATCCATAAATCAATAATAATTCTAATATTTCCTTTAGCTCACAGCGGTTCGGGGGTCACTGTCGTTCTTCTACTCCCTCGGGGCGTCGGATTTTTATAATACATACAATAAAATACAAGTGATTCAAACGAAACCCCCTTAAAAACAAGTCTAATAATTCATTATCGACAAATGAAACCATGCTTCTTTAAAATCCAGTTCAGAACCTTTAGGATTTTATAAACTTCCAAAAGCTCCTCCCTCCCGTTGCTTGTTCAGTCCGTCTGCATCGTGATACTTTAGAAACCCATTATGTCCCCCTATATGAAGCCCCCCCCCCCCCACCCCCCTCCCCAGAACCCACCAGTGTTAAATACAGTGAGGTGAGGCCCGTGGCCGACTCTGAGGTGAGCGCGAGGGCCCCCCCGGGAAGAAGAGTCACGAGGCCGAACGAATGCATGATATGCTTCACTTTTTTTTTTTTTCTAGTTGCTTTTCCAACCGTTTTGGCACAGAAATATGATGCACGTGTGCTGCCGAACTGCTGGCTGCTGGGCGGGGGGGGGGGGGCCCCCCGGCCCCAGGTTTTTGGGCCGGGGGGGGAGACCGGGTCCTCACCCCCCCTCCGCCCCGGTCCAGATCAGGGATCCAGGGATCAGGGATCAAACCCGGAGCGCCTCGGCTCATTTTGGCCACTTTATTTTTTTTTCCCTTCACCAAACGCGAGCTAAACCGGTTTGTTAGTCAGGAGCCTTTTTTGTCGAGGCGTCAACAACGACAGAGACCATCTACCCCAAACTACTCTTTTTTTTTTTTTTTAAACCAAAAATAAATAAATAAATAAATATGGTTTCTTTTTTTACTTTAAAAGTCCTAAAATATACGTCTCTTAGACTTCTTTTATCTGCAGCGGAGCCTCCGTTAAAACCGTTCTGATTTGGGACTCTGCGTCCACAGGGTTATATTGCACCAATTTCAAATATTTAACACACTTCTAAAGAGTTAAGCACACACAAAAAGATGACGTGTAAGACAGAACTACATGGGCAAACGAGAGCTGCTTTTCAGGGAAGCCCAGAGCTTTTTGATCCAGTAAAGAATTTGAATTTGTCGCACGTTATGCTACATTTCTCCCGTCATCTGAGAGCTGATTCCTGGCTCTAAATCGACCCTGAAAATCTGCCGATAACACGTCAGCTTCCAGTAGCTCTACACAGCATGTTATTGATTTTTTTCCCCCTCTTTGCCTTCTAGCGAGATGATGATGATGATGTGTCTTTTCCCCTTTCCTCCTCTTTTCTTTTCTTTAAACCCGCTTAAAAGCATCAGCTCCAGTCGTCTGAGAGCTCGCTTTCCATCTCCCGGAAGCTACTTTGTGCTAACCGACGTCACGGAGGTCTGTAGTTTGGCAACAGGTGGCGCTAAAGCTGTCCAATCAGCCGCAGCTACTTCTCAAAGTCAAGGACTTTCTTTCAAGGTCACCTTCTCCTCAAAATCCTAGCGTAGCGACGTCTTTCCAGGCTTTTCCGGGCCATTCAGTGGGTTTCATTAAAGGACATTAAAGGAGTGTTTTTTGGCCGCAATGTTTGAAGGAACCCTGCCAGACTCTTTTTTTATTTAATTTTTTTTAAAATGACCTTCCTGGAAGGAGCGCTGACCTTGAGAAGCTACAGATTCTCCTCAGCTAGCTATAGCGCAGCCTCGGTCAGGGGTTGGTTTTCGGTAGAGGGTGGTGAAAGGGGGAGCGCTTTGCTTCCCTCGCTGAAGCCGAAGCTCTGCGCGAACCCGGACGGCCTCCCGGGAGCTTCCGGAACCATTTTAAGACCCGGAAAAGCGTCGCCCGCCGTGACCGATGCACGTTTTATGGCACTTCAGATTCAAAGTTAGATCGGTTCAGATCAGCCTGTTTTTTTTTTTGCCAAACACACACAAACAAATCTCATTTAAACAAGGATAAAAACCACCACTTCACCGAAAAGGGTTCAAGAAAATACAGAAAAACACAAC